CACACAGCTAGGAAGTATCTGAACTCAGGACTTCCTGCCTCCAGGCTCAGCACTCTGTGGAGCCCCCCAGCTGCCTAAATGGTGGATGGGAGGGAGGAGACCCTCCCTCAGAGAGCCAGAGCAGCCACTGCAGGGCACTGGATGGGAGGGGTTTGTGCTGCAGGTAATGTGCACACAGGGCTGGGGCACTGTACTCAATGCAGGATGGGGGAGGGGAAGATCTCATCGGAGTCACGTCACAGGACTCCAGAAAAGCATTTTCAATCCTCCCAGGGTCACTCTATGTTCTGTAAGAAGGCCTAGAATACACATAGATTCTCAAACAAAAACTAAAAGTCTTTCAATTCAATTCAACAAATGTTTATTAAGCAAGAACTCCAGCAGGAACAGTCACAGGTTGCATGCACATCTCTACCTAAGAGTCCAGCCCAGTCCCTGGCCTGGGGCACCGACCACACAGACATGCACACAATCTGACAAGCCCTTCAACGTTCTGGAACACGGAAGGGGGCAGGAAAGGGAGGCCTGGGCCAGGGTAAGGAAGGCCCCAGACGGGTTGGGGGGTTATTCCCAGAGTCCAAGCAGGAGATCACAAGGGCCCCCAAAGGAGCGAGCACCATATCAAAAATCAATGGGAAGGCTATCCTGGAGGGACAGAGCCGGGACTTTGGCATCGTTTGGAGGGGACAAAAGGCACCAAGTCCAAAGGGACACCAAAGTTTTAAGCATCCAGGACTGGGGGGTGTTGGGAGGAAAAACAAAAACACCTGGTTTTTAGACAACTGGAAGAGAAGGCACCAGCCTGTTTTCAGATACTGGGACAGCAGTCAAATGGAGAAGTGCCAGATTTGGGTTCAATGAGGGAAGGACTTTCCAGACATGAAAGGGCTGCCTTGGGAAGCAAGGGGAGGTATGCAAGCAAAGAAACCAGTCAGGCACAAGTACATGGAGTGGGGACCCTGGTATGGATGGACTGGCCTCGGCAGCTGCTGAGGGGTCATCCATCCTGGCAGCCTCTGTGAATGGTATGCAAAAGAGGGGCAGACAAAATGTGGGGGCATTCCTCCAGACAACACTGCCCCTGACGGACCTGCAGGCACATCATGTTCCCTCTGTGCCCTGAGGGCTCAAACAAAACAACCTCTACCTTCCTGTCCAGGTCCAACTCTATTGTACCATGCACTCCTGAAGAAGGGGGTCCAGGGTTTTGGGGTACACTAACATATAAAGGACAGGAGAAGGAACAGGAGCCAGCAAAGAGAAAAGGAAGGAAGAGGATCTAAAACAGATGTGGGCTCAGGTGGTCAAAGGAGTCCAATGCTCCTGTAGGAGACACCAGAAGGTGAGGGCCAGCACAGACCAAGCGATGCACTTGGCAATTTCATCCCTATCACAACGCCTGGTTCTATGCAAATAAGACACTGATTGTTTTTTTAAAGAAAGACATCAAATTTCTCCCCCAACAAAGATGTCCATCTTAAACAAAGATAACCCCAGGGTCCTCCTTGAGTTCAGGTCATTACATTTAACAAGACAAAAGTCACTAGATCATATGCTATAATTCATCATGTCAAACTGTCACATTTCTTAACAGAAAGTACAGGGTTTTAAAGTTGGCAAAGATTAATTTCCCAAACACCAGCTTACAGCATTTCCCAAATACTTCCAGATCTCAAAATCATAGTTGTTGCTTTTTAATTAGATGGGGGGGGTTTGCTTTCAGAACTAATTAAAATCATTTTTGCATGAAGACAAATGTTGGGGACATGTCAGTTTCAATCAGTTCAGACAAATCTCCATGAATGCAAAGTTACAGGAGAAGCAGCACCTGGATTCCTACTCGGAGTCCACCACTGATCAGCTGCTGCCACTCTGGCCAAGCTGCTTACTGACTTCTCTACCTCAATCTCTTCATCTCTAAAATGGACATCATTCTTATCCTACCTAATTCATCAGACATAGGGAGAAAAGAGCCTTACAAATTCTAAAGGCACATGCTGGCTAAGCTGGCTAACAAAATGCAACCCTCATTCTTTCTATAAAAATCATGTTCAATCTGCAAGACTCCTCATGCAGCCAGCCACCAGATCCATAAAGCAGTGCTCATCAATAAGTGGGTAACCCAGGATAAGGCAAGGAGGTAACACATCCAAGGGGCAGAAAGATGGAAGCAGAAAGTGAAGGCGGCATGGAGCAGAAGCCCTTCTCCACCCTACAGAGCACAGGTCCTTCCCCAACACAAGCCCTTTCTGGTCACAGAAACATTTCTAGTAAAACCCTATACAGGTTTCCACATCTACAAAGAGAATTAAATAGATCCAAGGTCACAAGATTTTCCTCAAGACCCCCCCCATCCCTGGGATTCCCATCTGGGAATCTGAGAGGACATTTTACCCAACCAAGATCTGAACTCTCAAAATCCCTAACAATGGCTGTGCTTTGCTTCCAGGCCCCTGGGGAGGGGGTGCTGACTACCAGCTGAGGAAGCCCTTTACTCTTTAGCTCAAAGCGTTTCTAAGTTTTACCTTAAATCAAACCCAGCTCTGTCTTCCCATAGCTTGTACACTTTGGAGAACTATACCCAGGCACACAAGCCTCTCTGTTTCTCCCCACTCCACAAAAATGCAGAGCTCCCTCTTTCCCTGCACACATGGGCCCCTTCCACCGCCCCCTCCCCACCTACTCCTATAAGCAGGAGGCTTGCCTACTCCTTCCAAATGCAGATTGCATACCCATCTTCTCCTCCAACACACAGAGTTACCCACTTACAGGCTGTAGGTGGACAGAGTTTAGGGCACAGCCAGTTTGCTGGATAAAAGAGAATGATTGAGCACAAATAGGTAAGCAGGTGGTGACAACTCAAATTGGATTTGAAAGAATACTGGGGGGCTAGGTGGATTAGATGAGTAAGTGTATGGTGGGTAGCAAGAGAAGATTTGGCCAGGACTGTGTATTTTTTTCCTCCTGAAAAACATGAACACCAGGAGATAAACTCTAACTTTTTTTTGAACTAAGATTCTCTATGGTTGTGGTATGAGTTGATTTTTTAAAAACTAAACTCCTTATCACACATTTGCTTTAATGGAAGTAAAATCAGTGTCCACAATCCTCAGCCAGAGATGTCTGTTATTCAGTCCTCAGCTTTATCATCAACTTCTGGCTGTGACAGTGGTCACTTCTTTTTACAAGGCTGGCAAAGTTAAGCATTTTTGCATCCTTTCTTAAAAAATGTTTTATTTTAACAGGCATTTCTCAACACATACCCAAAGAAACTCCCCTCAAGGTTAAGCAAAACTGCTTCATGGATGGATCTAAGTATTTTATTTTAAAAAGTAAATTCATCCATTATTTTCTCAGAATGGTAATAGTGTAGTTACTAATAGGAAAAAATAACAATTACACTTCCTGTGCATTCTCAAAACAAGGTGAAATGTTTCCTCTGAAGGTTGTACAGAGTGATAACACAGTCCAAGGCCACTTACAGTTACATTATGGTCTCTTGTTAAAAACAAAAAAAACCCCAACTAGCTACAATCTGGAAACCCAGGGGAGATGAGTGTGAATATTATGATGCCTCTTGAAAAAAAAAACTACAACTATCTCTCCAAACTGCTCCATCCAGAGGCAGCCTGGCACAGGGCATTAACCAGGTTGCCTGAAAGTCAGAAAGCTGTTTTAAGTTTGCCGATGAGTCCACTCTGCTCACCCTAAGTCGCTTAACCTCCACGTGTTGTTGATCTTTATCAGTAAAAGAGCTTAAAAAAAATCTACAGGGAAAAAACAACCACCTGTTTCCTTCTTAATATTTCACCTGTCACTCCATTATAGATACATCACCCAAAGAACTAGAAAAGCTTATAAAGCCAAGTCAGGCATATTTAAAACGTATTTTATTCTCCTTCCCAACATGAGCTGTTTAGCCTAGCCCGGAGAAAATACAGTTTGGGAGAGTGTGCACAAGATATCAGGCTTCCAAGATTTGACTGGCTGTCAACCGAGATTAGTCTGGGGCTGCTCAGAAACACTCCGGGAACTTCGCAGAAAAACCAAAACAAAGTTTGTCTTCAGGGAAGCTTGGTGAACCGGCCGTCAGCCCGGGGTGGAACGGCCGGCCCCAAAGGGGGAGTGGGTGCCCCCTCGCTGAAGGTCTCCCAGCAAACCCCAAGAGCTCTTCTGTGGGTTATCTCCTTTTAGGACAAAGCCCTGGGCGCCAGGCCCTGCTCATCAGGTCCCTTCCAGCTCCGAAATTCTGGGGATGTCGTGGCATGGAACAACACTTTGTTTCCAAACAAAGGAGCCCAGGCTTAGAACTGGAAGGCCCTGGAGAGGTGGGGTCCAGCCCTCCCCGCCCCCTTCTGTAGATAGGGGCTCGCCCAGTGGGTGACTAGGACTTGAACCTAGACGCCCCGGCCCAGGCAGCCTCTCAGAAGCCCTCCGCCCCCTTCTCTTCCCCCTCCCCCGGCTTCCCAGGACCAGGAAGGCTACGGAGGGAGGGGGAGAAGGGGAAAGGCAGGTGGAGGTCTCACGCAGGCGCACAGCCCGGAGCGGCCGGCTAAGCCAAGGGGGCGGCGGCCACGGAAACCGACCAGGGGGTGGGGCTTGGGCACCACGGAGACCGCCGATTGGGCGAGGCCGCCCGGCGCTGCCCATTGGAGCAGAGGAGGGCCCGGCCCCCCAATCCACGGAGACCCGGCGCGGGCGCCTCCCCCGCACGCCCCGCGCTCCGGCTCCCACCTCTCCCTTCCGGCGGCCGGCCCCCACGACACGGCCCGGCCCGGCCTCCCCCGGCCCCGGCTCCCCCCCGCCGGCCGGCCGGAGGGTGCGGGGGCGCCCAGCCGCCCGCTTCCCCGCCCCCCGTGTGGCGCACGCCGCCCTCGCGCCCATATGTTGGATCCCCCACCCAAATGTGGCCCCTCCTGCTGCCGGGCCCAGATGTTTGCCCCTCGCCGTCCCCCCCACATCCCGGCTCCCAGCCCGGCTCCCTCCCCGGCGTTACTCACCGCCCGAACGCCGCCCGCTCCCCTCGGGAGGAGGACGGGACCGGGATCGGAGGCCCGGCTGCCCCGCGGCTCCGAGCGGGGCACGCGCTGTCCGCGGCCCTTTCTTCCCCCAAAGAAAATTAATCACCAAAAAATAATTCCAGAGAAAAAATGGAGAGTAAAATCCAAGATGGCGGCGGCGTCGCCGCAGCACCACCAGCTTCCTCCGCCGCCGCCGGCAGAGAAAGGAGTCCCAGCTGCGGGCCCGGCTCCCACCCCCTCCCTCCGCCCTCCCCGCGCGCTCCCGGCGCCTCCCCCCCCACCCCAGCCCGCGCGCTCCCGACGGACCGCCCTCCCCACGCGTGCGCGCCCCCGGCACACGCCTCCTCGGCCCGGACGTGGAGGTCGGCGCGCGCGCCCCCGGGCTCGGCCGTGAGGAACGGCGCGCGCGCTCCCGGGCCCTCGACGTCGCGCGCGCGTTACTCCCCCTCCCCTCACCACCCCCCACCCTCGGGGCCGCGGCCGTCACTCGGCCCCCGCCCCGGCCTCAGCCCTCGGGCCCGGGCCTCCGAGCTCACCTCCGCCTCCGAGCGGCCGCAGGGCCGGAGAGGCATGGGCCGGGCGGCGCTCCGCGTCCCGGGGCTGGCGCCTCGCCTCGCCTCGCCTCGCCGTGCGCGGCCGCTCACCTCATAGCCCCGGCCCGGACCCACCCGGGGCGGCGGCGGTGGCGGCGGCGGAGGGGCACGGAAAGGAGTTCCGCAACCCGGCCCGGCGCCCGCGGCGGAAGGAGAAAAGTTATGTTTTAAAAAAACGAGTGCCGGCCCTCGCTGTGCCCGCACGCCGACCTCCCGGCGGAGGGATCCCGGGGAAGTTCTCCACACACGGAGGGTGGGAGGGTGGGGGGGTGCGGGGGTGCGGAAGCGAGGGATCCCTCCGCCCTGACGGCTGCCCTTTAAATGGCGGGCGGAGGAACCACGGCACCGCCCCCCCGCGTAAGGGGCCCCCTCCTTTTCAGGGAGCGCGCGCCCGGACGACTCCGTAGCGCCCCCTGGTGCTGAGGCCTACTCTGCCCTGAGATTTGCGCAGTACTGGGATCTGCTGAGTGGGGAACTGGGAGCCATAGGGCCCCAGAAGGCCCGGGGCAGGGAGGCATCACAGCGCCCCCTGGCGCCCCGGGGTAGCGAGCGCCACAGCGCCCCCTGGCGCCCCGAGGTAGCGAGCCCCACAGCGCCCCCTTGCGCTCTGGATGCCCTGAGACTCTAGCGGATCCATCCTCGAGAGGGGGAGTGCAGGTCTTGCATCATCTCCTTTGAACCTGAAATGCTAAGAAGATGAAAACCTTGTAAAACCAGGGGATTAAACTCGATGACCTTGCAAGCGTCGTCAGAAGTAGCTGGGCACAGAGTATTGGCTCTAATACTTGCCCCCTGTTGGATAAGTCACTTCTGCCTGCTTCCATTTCCTCATCTGCAAAATGGGGACAATAAGCAGCCCAGTGAGATGCCGCCCTCCCCCCGGTCTCTGCCTCCCGCCTTCCCCACCGACCCGGTGTGTAGCGTGGTGCCTTGCACGCAGTAGGGGCTTCGTAGATGTTTATTCACTGCCTGGCCGACAGCCACTCGATGCCCAGGGCACCCTCTGGAGTTAGAAGGGGCGTACCCCCTTGGCGGAGGGACTGCCGTGAGCACGGAGGTCCCGGGGTTACGCAAATCTCGGGTCGGACCCGACGCACTGGAGGCTCTTCCCAGAACAAACTCGGAGTCTAGGCACCCAGCGCGAGGCGGGCGAGATGACAGCCCGGGAGCTCGCTGATGTCCCGCCCCCTCCTTGGAGGAGTATAGTGGAGCCCGAAAGGGCTTGCAAGGGGTCTGGCTAGAAACACAGACAAAAACAAGGGGAACAACGTTTGCACGGGAGGAAATACCAATTATTTCCCAAGGAAATAGAAAGCCTTTGGGGAAAGAGGAGGGCTCTGATTCTTTAGAGAGATGAGGAAAAGCCCAAGGTTAAACCTTGAGGGAAGCAAGAGAATCACAAGGAGGAGGTGAGAAAGGGCATTCCAGGCATGAGGCACAGCCTATCCAAAGGTGCGGCGGTGCAAGATAGAGAGTCCAGGATGAGGAACAGCTAGGGAGATGGTCTGCCTGTGCCGCACAACGGATCAGGGGGAGTCATGTGGGAACAGCCTGGAAAGCTGGGCTGGAGTCAAATCATGAAAAACTTTAGATGCCGAGTATTTGACACAAGGCGAGCTGAGCTGCTGGGGCGTCCTGACCGGGTCATCGTGCTGCTTTAGGAAGATCCGTGTGACCGCTGTGAGGACGACACCTTGGGAAGCAGGGAGAGAGACCGGGAGGCCACTGTACGGGAGGAGGGTCTGAACTAGAAAGGGAAGAATGTGAGGAACAGTGTGGAAGATGAATGACCTGGACCGGGACCGCTGGCTGGAGAGGGGGGATCAGGGGGAGGGAGGAGCTAAAGATGGCCCCCAGGCCAGGAAGCTAGGTGAGTGGAAGAATGCAGATACCTTGCCGGAAAGAGCAAATTGGGAAGAAAGGAGTATTTGGAGGAGAAATGGTGTGTTGTCTGAAGCTGTGTTGAGATGAAATGTCTGCTTCCATCTGGAAAAGTCCAAGAGGCTCGGCAGAGGGACTAAATGCCTCTGGGAATCGTCTGAATGGAGACTGTAATGATCCTCATGTGCTGTTGAGGTTCCCCAGAAAAAGTGTGGAAGAAGAAAGAGGACCCAGAACAGAGCCTTGGAGATCCCTCCCCCCAGCTGGGAAGCGGGACAAGGCCAGCAGAGGGGCCTGAGGAGGAGTATTCAGCCAGATAGGAGGAGAACCAGGAAAGAGCATGGCCATGAGGAGGAGATCTTTGGTAACTCTGGAGGCAGCCATTCTGGCTGAGTTATGAGGTCAGAATCCACATTACAAGGGGCTGAGAAGTGACCGAGAGGGCAGTGAAGGGAGGTGAAGCATGAAGACGACTTTTTAAGGAGTTTGATAGTGAAAGGGAAGAAAACTATAGGAGAGAATGGTAGGGTCAAGTGAGGGTTTTTAAATATATTAAGCACCTACTATGTGTTAGGCACTGAAAATACAAAGTAAAAAACTGAAACTGTTCCTGCCCTCAAGGAGTTTACATTCCACTTCTAAGCACATAGATGGTCCTGGAGTCAGGAAGACCTGAGTTCAAATGTGACCTCAAAAACTTACAAGCTAAGTGACTCTGGACAAATCACTTTACCTCATTTGCTCACAGCAGTAATCAGAGCCTTGATTTCACCATCACTCCAAAATGTTTTGTGTCCACTATACCTAACTCTGAAACTGCACTCTCAGCCTGTAGTCTGGACTCCTTATACCTCTCCCTCTGCCACACTTCTCCCCAGCTCCTGATTAAACCTGCTGCTCTCCAAAGGCACAGGAAACTGTCTTTGAACATTTATGTTGCTGTCTTTGGTTTTTATATCACAGTCATCTCAGAACATAGTCCTCCCAACTCCCCTCTCCAACAAACTGTCCCTTGTAACAAAAAAAAAGAAATGGGGATGGGATGGGGGGTGGGGAAAGCAGTTTAGCAAAACAAACATACCAACTAGTCTGACAGATGTTTAGTGTTCCATACCCATAGTCCCCCACCTCTCCAATGAGGAAGGAAGGTGAATTTTCTCATCTCTGTGGATAAGCTTAGACCTTATAATTACATAGCTTTTGGTTTCAGATTGTTTTCCATTTACATGGAACTAGATTATTGTAACGTGTGTGTATGTGTGTGTGTGTGTATGATGTAATCCTTGGCTTAAAGGGCCTATGGCAAGAGACTCTCCTCATTGATTGATTACTTTGAGCTTTGAGAGAAAAGTTGAACCATTCCAACCTCTCTGGGACAAAGTCAACACGTAGAGGAGCTGGCAACATCTATCATATCCCTATCCCCAGCTTACTACACTAGGGACTTTGGGGAATCTCTCTTTGGGCGAGATGTTCTCGTTTGACCTAAGTCATCTCACACCCAATGGAAGAGCTCATTTACTCTGTGTTATCTGGTTTCCATTCTGCGGTCTACTTGGATAAATGGGTTTCTTTGCTATGTATGTTCACTGTGGAATTGGCATTTGCTGGGCAAGGGGTCAAGGCTTGGCCATATAGTACAGGGCCCTGTAAAGGGTGAGAGTCAGGAGTGTAGCTTGAACCTAAAAATTACTTTCCCTAGACTAACAGTATTTAAGGAAGCCAATCAGTATTGTTCTAGCTGGGTGCCCCCTGTCTCTGATGAGGACAGAGTGGCAGCCTCTGGGCCAGCCTCCTTCTTCCCCTCCTGGCAGGAATGAAAGTCTTGCTTGGATGAGGTTAGGGGGAAAAGATATAGAGATGTCTCTTGTCTCTTGAGATGTGAGCCACATCTAGACAGACCCATGAGGGGACACATAACCTACGTGACCCAAGAAACAAACAGCACCCACATACATGGCACACCAACCTCTTACATGTATGTTATATTCAAATATAGTACATGTACACATATATGTGTGTGTTTCTTTAATCATTCCCCAATTAATGAGGACCTACTTTATTTCCATATCTTTGCTACCATAAAAAAGTGGTGCTGTTAATATTTTGAGGCATGAGGCCTTTCTGTCTTTACCTTCCATGAGTTATGTGTCTAGCAATGGGATCTTTGGTTCCAAGAGTAAGAATGTTTTAGTCATTATTTTTTTAAAAGCGTAGTTCCAAACTGCTTTCCAGAATGGTTGAATCAATTCACAGTTCTACTAAAAGAGCGTTAACATGTTTGTCTTCCTTTAGCCCCTCCAACATCGATGGGTTCCTTCTTTTTTTAAAAATTAGAGAATTAATCTCTCTCTTATTCCTCCCTCTCCCAAACCCATTGAGAAGACAAGAAAAACAAAACTCATTACAAATATGTAGTCATGCAAAACAAATGTCTGAATGAGCCATGTCCAAAAAAATAAAAAGAAAGAAAAGGAAGAGATGAGAATATGTTTCAATTTGCACTCTGAGTCCTTCGGCTCTCTTTCTGGAGGTGGATAGCACGTTTCATCAGGAGTCCTTTGGAACTGTGGTCTGTCACTGTCGGTCAGAATTACCCAGTCTTTCAAAGTTGGTTATCTTTACAGTGTTGTCTTTGTATGAGTCACTCTTCTCACTTACTTTTGTATCAGTCTGTACAAGTCTTCCCAGCTTTTTCTGAAGCCATCCCCTTCTTCATTTCTTGTAGCATAGC